TGCCATTTGTTTTAAAATATGTTGTTGATTACATATATACACATGCATCAATTAAAGTATAAGTATAATCAAAATTTCATATTCTTAATTGTTATAAAAATGATTAAATCTGTAAACAACTTTTAGTCTTGAAATTGTAACTACAGTATTATTATTTTATTGAGTTAAATCGTAAGTTTAATATGGGTTTCTTTAAAGCAGAGAAGTTTTTATAAATTTATTTTAAACTAGAAGTAAATGTTTATTTGTAAATAGTATAATATTTGTCAGTTATAATTTATACGTCGTGTTAATTAGAATTTGCCATTATATTGTGGTCTAACTTCAAGGTGGAGTGTTACTGCATTATTGGTGCGTTATGTTCTCCTACATATTCTAACCAATAGAATTACCGTTACTTTCCATCGGTATTTCATATTATTTGTCGTTAGCTGCTTAAAGTCTGAAGTGTCTCCCGGTATCGTGAAATGTAGCTGACTTCAAGTAATCGAATTGCGCTGTTGCGTCCTTTGACACGCTTAACCGTTTACGAAAACTGTTTCGCTACATTTTTAATGACATTTTGATCGTTTTACCATGCCAAGTATTCACAAAAAATTCCGAAAGTTACGTCGAAAGCGATATATTCGCACTTAGTAATAATTATACCGCGATAGTGTGTGAACACCAAAAACTAAGCTAGTGCCGTGTATCCACCACATATATTTGCTTTATTGATATTCTGAGTGTCACAGGCCTTGTGGTGCCTATGCATATCTTGAGGTAATATATCCTTTAATCCATACAGTACTTGATATTTCATGTAAATGTATATTTTGGAATATTTTATGTTTCTGAACATGTTAAATTATAATATTGTTTACGTCGATTTCCTGTAGTTATACCTGATCAGTGCACATAACCTACGCGATACGTTTCACTATTATCTACTATAGAATACAAAAAATATATCCTAACAGATATAAGTATGAATTAGCATGTAACTCTTTCCTTTAGTGAATTGATTTAAGTCAGATTTATATTGTATTGCTTGTATTTACCATTTATGGGTGATAATTTCTATTCGCTGTTTGTGGTGATGGAGAAGCTACAATAGTGTGCAATTGTGAAAGTCACTAACCTAATGTGAATATAAACATCAATATTTAGTATTCGGTTTGATCGATCTTAAGTTTACTTCTTGGAAAAGTGTAACGTTTACTTTTTTTATTGGAAATGACTTATTCTCTTCTTGGATACTTTAAGTAACTAAGTTATAGTTAACTAAGTGTATAATATTACAGAATTTGGACAGTGTTCTAGATTATTTTAAGGACATAAAGTTTCTCATATTTGGTTGGACCATTAAGCAAACATTATGTCAGAAATAGTTTACCCGCAAGGGTGCAGATCTGTGACAGAGGATCTGGGTCCAGATGAACTCATTAGGAGATTAAAGGTACATTTATACATGAAAATATTAATATTTTATAATGATTGGTATAATAATCTGAGTATATATAAAAAAACTTATGATCAAATTTATCGAACAGACATTAGCTCACACGTTACAAGCAATGGGACAAGATGAAGGAATGTATCAGCAATATATTCCACTTGCATTGCATTTGGCAGAAGAACATTTTCTAATGCATCAAAGTAAAGATGTACAACTTTTAATTGCATGTTGTATTGCTGATGTTTTGAGGGTTTATGCACCTGAAGCTCCTTATAAAGATGCAGAACAGGTAAAGAAGAAAAACATAGATTCATCTGAAGGAGCAATTTGTACATTTTTTATAAAATCTGAATAAGTATTTTGAGTTTCTGTCTAAATTGATGTAATGTTATATTGTTGTAGGTCAAAACAATATTTTTGTTTTTAATTAAACAATTGGCTGGTTTAAAAGATCCTAAAGATCCTGCATTTAAAAGATATTTTTACCTATTGGAAAACTTGGCATATGTCAAATCTTTTAATATGTGCTTTGAATTAGAAGACTGTCAAGAAATCTTTTGTGCACTCTTTTCTCTTATGTTTAGGATAGTAAAGTAAGTATAATTATGGGGAAATACATATAACGTGTAAAGAAGTAAAAAAATACTTAATCATTTTGTAATTACAGCGATGAACATTCTGGGAAAGTGAAAAGCTTTATGTTAGACGTATTATGTCCACTTATTACAGAATCCGATATTGTTAGTAATGAACTTCTAGACATTATACTTATGAATATTGTAGAACCAAACAAAACACAGAAAAAAAATGCATATTTGCTTGCGAAGGAATTAGTAATTAAATGTAGTGATACATTGGAACCTTATATTCAAGCAGTGAGTATAATAGAATTAATATATTTCCCTTAAATATTTTATGTAATCAGAAGAAGTAATGGAATAATATGTTTTTGTTTTTAAATTTATAGTTCTTTAATCATGTACTGATTTTGGGTAAAGAGGAGAAAAGTTTACAAATTTGCAAGAAAGTGTACGATTTAATTTATGAGTTGAATCACATATGTCCAAGCGTCTTGTTGTCCGTCCTTCCACAATTAGAATGTAAACTAAAATCTTCTTCTGAAACTGAAAGATTGGGCGCTGTAGCATTGTTAGCCAGAATGTTCTCTGAAAAAGGATCTCAATTAGCTGTACAACACACACAATTGTGGAGAGCATTTTTGGGAAGATTCAATGACATCAGTGTATCGATACGCATAAAATGTGTACAGTATTCAATGCATTTTTTACTGAACCATCCTGAATTAAGAAAGGATATTACGGATACTCTAAAATTAAGGCAACACGACGCAGATGAAAGTGTCCGATATGAAGTTGTTATGGCTATAGTAACCACTGCCAGAAGAGATTTTGAAGTTGTTTCAGACAGCGAAGATCTGCTTGAATTTGTTAAAGAACGAACATTGGATAAAAAGGTATGTTTTTACAAAACATTATTTAAATAATAAACAAAACGTCAACGTATCTACATTCTAATATTTTTCCTAACTTCTTAGTTTAAAATCAGAAAAGAAGCAATGGCAGGATTAGCGATGATATACAAAAAACACTTAAATGATGCGGATGTGCCGCAAGCTACTAAGAAAGCTGTTACATGGATAAAGGATAAAATATTACATGGTTATTATATGGCAGGCATGGAAGACAGATTACTAGTAGAAAGATTATTGAACACCTGTTTAGTACCTTATCAATTACCAGCTGATGAGAGGATGAAGAAGTTGTATCATTTGCTAGGTACAATTGATGATCACGCGTCTAAAGCTTTCGTTGAACTGCAGAAACATCAACTTGCGTGAGTATATTTTTCATTGACAGTATAATTATAAAATGTAAATTTTGTATATGTCATCTTTAAGTTTACTTTTACTTATTATATTACTTTTCACTTCAGTGTACGGAGAGCGGTAGTTGAATGGTTAGAAATAGTGAAAAAACCAGAGGCAGTGGTTGAACTAGTGGCTAAAATTCATCAGATATCCCGCTTTTTACCAGACCCCATGAAAGTTCAAGAATTTTTACAGAAATTTAGCGCTCATATGAGAAAAGACTCAACATTGTTACAAGGAATGGAAACAATAGTACAACCAAATGTTTCTTGTAAGGAATGTGCAGATACGATAAGCATGGTTCTCAAGAAATTGGGTCAACCTGTTATGACGAATTTGTATTACAACACGATAAAGATGCTGTTAGAAAGAGTCAGTTCTGTCATGATTGATGAAGAAGCTATTAGGGTAATTGCATACTTCTATACTTACTACATTTAATTATCGCGTATACTTATACTGATCTAAACCTCAACAGGTTTTAATTGGATATGTATTAGATTGTTTAAAAGGAGGAAATGTGATAGAAGAAGTTGGGCTTAACCCAAATAATGCAGGAGAAAAAGGTTTAAGGTTACTCGTGGTATGTTGATAATGTTATAGCATATATTGTTACAATTTCAAATGAAACAAATTTAATTGTTACAATTCAAAATTATTCTTAATATATAATTATTGTTTGTTTTCAGATGCTTTCATTCGTATTTGGTCCACATTTTCTTCACAATGATATATTGATGCAACTTGTTCATCTTCTGGAATTAGAGGATGAAATGGTAGCACCATTGGTTCTTTCAATTTTCACGTTTCTAGGAAAATATAAACCTTTGTGCGATGTTGCTCCAGATATTATGAACCTTATGGTTCCAATTTGTAAAAATTTTGCAGAAACAGGAACATCGAAACAAGCAAAACAAGCTGTTAGATGTTTATTCGTTAATATGACCAATATTCACGACACCATTTTCCCTGAAATTATTGAGAGAATTAAAAACACTCTTACACCAACTTCAGAATATTATCGAACATCTATAGTTACGTTAGGTCATATAGCTTATAATTTACCAGAGAAATATCAAGTACAAATAAAGAATATGGTGTCCAGAAAGGTAAATTTTACTTAATTATTTATTACAAAGATTATAGTTAAAGAATATAGTCTCATCTAATATGTGCATTTACAGATAGTCAAGGAGCTACTAGTAAAGGAAAGCAGTGAACAGACTTCTGACACCATTGAAGGAGACTGGTGCAGAGAAGATCAACTACCTGAAGAAACGCGTTGTAGATTAGAAGGATTAAAATGCATGGCTCGCTGGTTATTAGGATTGAAGACTGATGTACTCTCTGCACAAAAAACATTTAGAATGCTGAATGCATTTGTAGTAAACAAAGGTGATCTTTTACAACAAGGTCGCTTAAGTAAAGCAGAAATGAGTTGGCTGCGATTACAAGCTGGTTGCTCAATGCTGAAGATATGTGAACAAAAAGGTGTTGGTGATCAATTCACAGCGGAACAATTTTACAACTTGTCACAACTCATGGTGGTACGTTAATAGTTAAGAATCTTAAGACTATTATTAAGTATTATTTTTATAGAATATAAAACTCGTGGAAATTCAACTTGTATTCAAATTATTTCAATTGATTCGTAGGATGAAGTTCCACAAGTAAGAGAGGCTTTTGGTAGTAAATTACATAAAGGACTTGGAAGAGGAATTCCAAATAAATGTTTGCCACTAGATTTTATGGGCTATTATGCTCTCGCCGGCAAGGAACAAGACAAAAGACTTAAGTGTGTTTTAAAAACTTACATGCAAACTGATATAAATAAGAGGAGGGATTATGTGAAGACATTATCACTGGGTACCGTAGAACGGGCCATGGGTAAGAAACTAAATAGTAAGGCATTATCGAAATATTGTTTGAGATTACTTTCCTTCTATCATGTTAAAACATTACCGAATAAAAAAAAATATTAATCATTTCTTCAAATTATGATTTTAGGTCAATTGCCTCACATTCTTCCTGATTACATGCTAGTATTCGCTGTCCCTATACTCGCCCATGATCCTGAATTCACGAGTCACGTGATGATATCTCAGCTGAAAGTCATACAGCAATGTTTATGGTTCATATTAGAACCACTTATAACAAAGAATGAATATTATTGCTATGGTTTTTATAAAAATCTCATAGAACGAATGAAAAGTCATAAGGATGCTTTGAAACCCGAAGATAACAACATAAACTATGTAATTATCTCAATAACATTTTATTATACATAAATTACATATAAAACATTTATGTTAATACTTTGTGCGCAGAAATTATGGGCCGTTTGTGATTTAGCTATGAATGTAATATTCACTAAAACGACAAATTTCGATATGAAAGAATTCCCAAGCGAGACACGGATTCCCACTATGTATTTCAAGCGTGCAGATGAACTTCTCGCTAACAACAGGAATTATTTACCTACTGAAATGCAAATTAACATGTCGAGTCCAAAAGGAAAAGGATCGCTTCACAATGTACATTCTGTCAGTGAAAGGCCGCAGCGCAGAGCTAAATCCAAACAGCAAAAAGAAGTGGGCATCGGACCGAACGAAACTGATGCAAGGGTAAGATAGTATATAAAATCGAAGATTTGCATTTAACAAATAAAAGTTGTATAAATTATTCTTTATAAGTAGTAAATAATTTGTAAATGTAAGCGTTAAAAAGTTGTTGAGTATGTGAAATATGATTTCAAGCTGCAAATTGGAGAAGTGGAATGTATTGATGCACAGGTAAAAAATAGTTTGAAATTTTGTAAAAAGATATATTGTATATTATTTCATATATTATACATATATTCGTACATACATACATACATACATATATATATATGTATGTAATACTTAATATCATAAATATGACGTATAAAATTTGTTTACAGCCAGCAGAAGCATCAGAAACTAGAATTCAATTACCTGGTTTAGAAGAAGAGGTGAGCAAATAAAATCATAGTTTCAGTCTCATATATACTAAGAGTATTAATTTTCAGATCGAAGAACCACCGGCAAAGAGGGCATTAAGAGAATCAGACAAAGTAAATAAATAATTAAATGAATGAACTGTATCCAAGGGGATATTAGTAATAGGGGAAAGACTTAAGGGACGTGATGATCATAAGAATTAAAGAATCTAAAAATACTTTACAAATTAGAAAACAGAATATTTTGGTTATGTACAACAATTAATAAACCTGTCGTTCGCGTATGTCTAGACAGTAAGGTGTTAAGATAATTATACATTAACGTCAAATAATGATTAATACGTGTAGGTTAATAACTCGAAAAATTTTTTTTGGAGTTACAAGAAATTAAAAATTTATTATTTGACACCATTTGAAAAATGTATTTTTCTTAATTACGAAAGGATATGTAAACGCGTCCTTCTTTCAACTTCTTCGTATGTTAAAAGCAGTGACACATTCGATAATATAAAATGTTTCTTTCACTGGATTGATAAATGTATGACAAACATTTTTTTATCAAACTTTTGGAAAATGTTTTCTAATTGAAGGTCTTTCTTCCTTACATGAAATATCTGACAATTGTTGTATTGTTCACTTTTGCACTAATGAATATAAACGTTTATACTATTTTACGCCCATTTTTCTTCGGATAAGTGTAAAAAGTATATGTGATGAACTATTCCCAAATAGAAGGATTCATATATACTATTATCATAGTTACTATTCACTTTTAATTCAAAATAACTGAAAGCCGGTTTTGCTACAAAGATATACCTGTATGTATAAAATACGTTACGTTTTTGTACGCAGAAGAGAACAACATGACGTTGTTGGATTTTTGTAAACATTGTGTTCCAGGTAAACAGACGTGTGTCAATCAGTTTTGTGATCCAAAGTTGTTTGTTTCCATTGATTTGATTATGATTATTATAATTAATCATCTTATTACGATTATTATTATTATTATTATTATTCTATTCAGGAAATTATAGCTACAAAGATTACTGTCTCCCAAAATTATTTGTTTATATTTTACTTCTAAATTTAACTTAAATTGTTTGAAATTTGGTCAGCGTACGACCATTAATTATTAATTTATTTCAAAAAAAAACGTGACCTTATAAATACTTCAATAGTATCTATACATGTATCAATTTAAAAAAGTTCATCATTCTCGCGTGTGACAGTTATTCCTGTATCGCTGTCATTGTATATGTATTATAAACTACTTTCGTATCACTTCAATTCAAATTTGTATCCAAAAACTTTTCTGTATCCTCTGTAATTCGACATAGCTATTTCAATTGTTTTATAAATACTTTGAATTAACTAAAAGTGGTTAGGTAATATCTCCATCCGATATTTTATAAATTCTTATGCCAATCAAAAAATGTACATACAAATACTTATATAATGATAATTTTATACTGATTTGTATTATAATTTGTTTTAAACTTAATTGGATTGTATAACTTATTTTCAAAAATTGTATTTTTATTAATTAATATAATGAGTAATAAAAAATGATGAAATTTTTAAATAGATATGTTTAAAACAATTATCGATTGTAAAATATATTTGAAAATTACAAACATATTTGAAATTTTACTAAAGTTAATATGGAAATTTACTGTTAAGGAAGTCAGATAAGACGTTGGATACAAAAATGAATAGAATTCAAGTAATTTAAAATGGGCCTAGGTTTTATAAATTTCCTTTTTCAACATTAGGATTATTAGCATTAAGCATTAAACTGTATTAAACCTAAAGATGAATGGAAATTGTGAATGAGGCTGTGAATGGTGATGAATGTTTGCTTTTATTATCTAAACATTATAGAATAACACATACCTATTACCTCTTCACTAAAATTACAGTACAATGCAAATAATGCGATTTTTACTTTCTTCCTATTATTATCATAGATTACTCTTTGTTTCCTTCAAGTATTGTTTCATAAAACATTAATAATGCATTGTTACTGTTTTATATCCATGAAATTTCATTCGACGTTTCTCAATGAAATTGATAGATTTAAAGTTCTTTGCAATATACTACCTTGTATTTTATAGTATTTTTAGCAATATCTGTTATTACAGATATTTAATTGCATAGTACTGCAATTTTTTCAAACAGGTTATAGACTATGAAGTATACATATTCTGATGAAAAAAAACCAATTAATCAGTGCTATTCATCTGTCAATCTGTGAGACGTAAGTGACGCATTGTAACGGTTCTATAATAAAACAAATTAAGTAAAATAGTATGTATTTAATAAGAGGTAGTTGCAGATATAAAATTCATCTTAACGTTTTCTAAAAGATTGTCTGCTATCCTTTTTTCCTCCGCCGAAATTTTGCCCACCTTTAGTTTTACTTCGATTCTTTTTAACATTTGTCCTAAAAAGTCACATAGAAATTATATTTACAACTATAATATTACATAATATTTTATTATAAGCGTCGAAACAAAGTGTACTTACTCATAACGCATTCTCTTCACTGCTTTCTTACTTATGTCTGTTAAATCAGCAGCAAACGAAGATTTCGATCGTTTTAGACCAGCTAAAATATAATCATTATTATATTAAAAATAATACCATTAAACTTATATAAAATAATATTCGTTATACTATACTTTTTCTGTTAGTTGTAGATCTATCATCATCTACAATTGTTCGAATCTTTTTTTGTTTATTCTTCTTTTTAGCTAATCTTGCTTGATATGCTGCAATTTTGTCTAATTCATATTTCGCTCTGTCTTCTGCTGTTTCTTTTTTAACTTCCTTGGTTACTTTTTTCTTCTTCTCCTCAACTATATTTGAAGGCTCTCGATGTTGTTTTTTAGTTGCTTTACTCTTTAACTGTTTTTCGGTTAATGATAACCTTTCTAAAAACGGTAATTTATTTTATTAAAATGTATTAAATACAAAGAAAAAATTGAAAGCCTATATGTCATTTTTGTGACAAGTACAACAGTTTTTATAAATATGTGTTAAAAGCTCGCATTATAGAGAACCAAATAAAGATACTTTAATCCATTAACTATATGGAATCATCTTAAACGATAGACATAAAACAATAAGGAAACATAGCTATTTTAGTCAATATAAGCAACATTAATTTTTAAAACGAACCTTTTTCTTCTTTCCTTTCTTTTTGAGTTTGGAACCAACTTCTTTGTTCGCCTTTATTGCTTTCGCTTTTAAGTAATTTTTCCACGCGATTTGTTTGATTTTCCATTTTAGCTAATTCTCTTTCATTTCTTTCCTCTTCTAGTATTTTTTCTACATCAGGTTGAAGTGATTGTAATTTTTTATTATATTTTTCAATAATATCAGGCGGTATTATTCGATTTTTTACTGGATTTTTTGCATTTTTTATAATTTCCTTAACTAGCGAGCGTTCTTGTTCCCCAGCCAATGATACCGATACTCCACCTCGACCAGCTCTAGCAGTTCTTCCAACTCTAGTAAACAAATTATATAGGAATTACAGTTTTTGTAATACATGTATACACATAAATGATATTTAGATACCTATGTATATAATGTTGCATGGTAGGTGGCATAACGAAATTAATTACAGTTTTTACACCACTAATATCTAGACCTCTTGCAGCAACATCTGTTGCTAATAAAATATCTATTTCCTCATTTTTAAATTTTCTTAAATTTTCTAAACGTTGCGGTTGTGTAAGATTACCATGAAGTTCTTGAACCTAGAGTACGAAGAATCGACACCTATAATACACTTATTTCAAGGAAAACTTATTTATAAAACAAGAACCGTGATATCTACCTTTACACCTAATAATCCTAACAAAATATGAAGTCTGTGAGCTTGTTTCTTTGTTTGGACGAAAACCATAGCATGATCATGAAAAGTTCTACAGATTAGAGCAGCCAGAATTGCTTCCCGATCTCCTTCTCTTTCTTTTCGTATCCTATTTTAAAAAATTTATTGATCAAATTCATTTACAATATAAAATACAGTAATCATTTTATTTCTTACCGAATAAATTCCTGACGTAAATTAAACGCAACGTCTTGATTACTATCTACAAACACCTTCACTGGTTTATCCAATGATACAGCAGCTAAATCTTTTACTTCTTCTGTCATAGTAGCAGAGAATAAAATTGTCTGTCTACTCCTCGCACATTGATTAACAATATACTTCATCTGTTCAGCAAAATATTCATCTAACATCCTTAAATGAAAATCACAGAAACATTTTAATTTCACTGTAGAGTGGTCATGAAGCAAATATAAATTACCTGTCAGCTTCATCCAAGATGAGTACTTCAATGCTGTCTAGTGAAAAGGTAGGTGTATTTTTTAAATGATCAATTAATCTGCCAGGCGTGGCTATTACAATATCTGGATTCTTCCTTAATACAGTTTCCTATTCAAATAATAATAAAAAATATTGTGTAGAACGTTTATGTGTTTCAAGCATGTTATAATTTCATTACTTACTTGAACTTTAACATCTAAGCCACCAACAGACAATCCTACTTCGATTGTCGTAAACTGAGATAACTGCTTGGTGACTTGATACACTTGCACACCAAGTTCTCTCGTTGGTACAAGTACAAGAACTCTAGAAATAGCAGGACCATCTAAAGGCCTGTACAATAATCTTTCTAGAGTTGGAAGCATATAAGCTGCAGTTTTACCGGTACCTGTGGCAGCACAACCACATATATCTCGTCCCATTAATGCAACTGGAATAGTAGCAGCCTGAATAGGTGTAGGATGTACAAAATTCATAGCTGTTATAGCCTGCAATAAATATATACATAGTTAAATATCAAAAATGAATATATGAAATACTGTAGTTCTTATTTTATGACTGAAATAAGCATACCTTTAATAAAGGTCGTGATAAATTCATTTGATAAAAAGTTGCGTGTGATTCAGAGTTAGAATATTCTTCAAAATTAATTGTTTCTTCTATATTTTCATTAATAACCTTTTTCTTTTTGTTCTTTCTTTCTTTAGTCTTAAAGATATCTATAATAAAGAATTAAAGTATATTTAAATAGGAAATTATATAATATAAAAAAATATGATTATACCTTTTTTGAGTTCATCTTCAGACAGGGAAATTTCATCATCCGTCTGTTTAATTTCAGATAGATCTGCAATAGAATTATCATCATTTTCTTCCTGAAAATACGATGAATACAAAAAGTTATTTAACAAACATTGATTTTAAATAGTTGAGTATCTTTAAAGAAACCAGTTAACATGCATACTCAAAGAAGTTCATATTAAAATTTCTTTTAAAATTAAATATCACTGAGACGTTATTTACACAACTATTGTCATTGATAACCTCAATATTAATAAATAATATAGTATATTCAAATTTGTAATTAATTTGATAATGCATATACATACTTCATTTTCAGTTCCTTTTCTAATCTTTTTAATCTTGTCATCAAGTTTTGTTTTGACTTTCCGTTTAATGTATTTGCTTAAATCATTCCATGTGTCCTTATTATATTCAGAAACGTCATTTATAAATTGAAAATTATTATCGAAGTCTTTATTTTTCTTTCTACTTTGTTTTCGTGGCTGAAACTGCAGAATAATAAATCATTTACGCGTACAAACAATTATACAGTAAATCAAATACAATTTTATTTATTTTTTCCTTTAGAAAATTTAATAAGATTATGTCCGAGTTTATATAAAAATATCTTACATCGTCTTCTACATCAGAATTTTCAGAATAATTTGGCACCTCTTCATCGTCTTCGATAGTTTTGATTAAGTCACAATTATTATCCATTTTCCATTACAAATATTATACGTAACATTAAATTCCAAAAGCTAGATCCACATGGGTACAGCACACACGTGTGCCGTACAAATAATTCTCATTAAGTCATCAATCGGTATTTAAATAAAAATAATATTGTTAAGATCGTTTTTATAAAATTATGTATAAATAATAATAAAATATTATTTTTTATTCATAAATATACTATAGAAGAATTTATTATCTTAATATTGAATATGTACCAGTGGTGCTCAATTTTATCAAATATATATTCAAATTATTTTCATGATTTTATTTAATTTTTTAAAAATTTAATATAGATATTTATTAGTATTTATTTAAAATATTCATGTATTAGAATGATGTAGATACAAGAAGTGAATTTAACAGTTGTAAACAAATCAGCAATTAAATTTCTTCAGTTTCGTAAGATTCGAATGAGATACACAATAAGCAAGTATATGAGATATGTACAATTTGGCGCGAATTCTCGTTTACGATCCACACGTCTTGACACTAGTTTTGAGACGTTTCTAAACGTAGTTATAACCTTGTTATTTGATCTCGAACGCCATGGGAATTTTAGGTTTAGCAAAACTAATAGCAGATATAGCACCAAGCTCTATTAAAGAACGGGAATTGAAACATTATTTTGGTACGTTTTTATTTTAATTAATTTAAGTTCATCACACTCGAATTCATGAAATTTTTAGAATACTTCTCAATAGTTGATTAAATTTATTACAAACTAAGTTCTAAACATTTAAAAATGATTTGTAGGTCGTAAAGTTGCTATAGATGCATCTATGTGCTTGTATCAATTTCTAATCGCAGTTCGAAGTGAAGGAGCTCAGCTTACTACAGTGGATGGAGAAACAACAAGGTATATGACCTTTTGTAATTATAATTATTTTATTCTCTATTTAAAATTAGTAACTTTATAATAGTAATTTATTAAATCAGCCTGCTCGGCTAGTGAGTGAGTTCGGTTTATAAAAAATATTACAAATATCTGTTCTCATTACACTCATTCATTTCCACATATTTCTTATTATTTTCTTTTTTATTTTCTTTCTTGTCTTCTTATTGCATTCTTGTTTCTCTTGCTATTTAAAATATATTTCAATATCATATTTGGTTCCACTATCGACGACTTTATAATTTTGTGTTATTAATACATTATTATATTCTTGTATTATAGTCATTTAATGGGTACATTTTATCGAACTATACGCTTAGTAGAACAAGGAATAAAACCTGTGTATGTATTTGATGGAAAACCTCCAAACTTGAAAGGTGATGAATTAACAAAGCGTGCAGAAAGAAGAGATGAAGCACAGAAGCTTTTACAAGCTGCAGAAGAAGCTGGTATTTATATATGTTTACTTTATACAAATAATTGTTCCATTCTTAAGCACTTATCATATCATTTTTAAGTTTTTCTAACATATGTTTTCAGGAAATATGGAAGATGTAGAAAAGTTCAATAGACGATTAGTAAAAGTTACAAAGGAACATGCAAATGAAGCTAAACAATTATTGAAATTAATGGGTATACCATACATTGATGTAAGTAATGGGTAAAAAAGATATCATTTTATTTTAATACTGAAATATATATAAATTTTCATGAAGGCACCTTGTGAAGCAGAAGCACAATGTGCTGCTTTAGTTAAGGCTGGTAAAGTTTTTGCAACAGCCACAGAAGATATGGATGCACTTACTTTTGGATGTAATGTTTTACTTCGACGATTAACATTCAGCGAAGCTAGAAAAATGCCTGTACAAGAGTTTCATTTTGATAAAGTTTTGCAAGATCTTGAGTTGAATCACGATGAAGTATGTAATTTCGAGACTTTTGTCAGAAAAAGAATATTTTTAAGCTGTACTTAACATTCTACTTATTAACAGTTCATTGATCTGTGTATCATGTTGGGATGTGACTACACAAACAGCATTAAAGGAATTGGGCCAAAAAGAGCAATTGAATTGATTAAAACACATAGATCACTCGAAAAAATTGTAGAAAACTTAGATACCAAAAAATTCTCAGTTCCAGAAAATTGGAATTATAAACAAGCTCGACTATTATTCCAAGAACCTGAAGTGACTAATCCCGATGAAATTGATGTAAGGAAATATATATTGCACTATAACATAGTTGCTAGAATTGGTCTATATACAAGTTAAATTTAGTTTACTTAATCGTTTGAGTACCAGAAGTTTTTTAAAAAACGCGGTCGAAAAAAGCCGAACAGCACAATAGCACCTTCTGAATGGGATGCGAAAAGATCCAAGCAGCGCGACAGTTTTTCTTAATCTAGTCTTAATCTATGTTAATACTGTTATAGATATATATTAATTTATGATAGGTAACAACTAAATACAAAATGTATTACTTCGATTACTTATATACAAAAGAAGTAGCGATGCAACGTACATGCGTGTGGAAAGTTGAGCGCGTTTCGTCACACTGTAAGTGTGCCGTCAGTTGTCCGTATAGTTCAAATGCGCTGGGATTTTCCGCCATGAAATCTGAAGAGCGCGAAAGCGGCGCGTGGGACTCAAATGTTTAAATATACTTATTTTACATTTATACTCACAAGTATTTTTATTTCTTTAAGATTAAGTGGTCAGATCCAGATGAAGAGGGATTAGTTAAGTACTTATGCGGTGATAAACAGTTCAATGAGGAAAGGGTAAGAAATGGAGCAAAAAAATTACATAAAGCAAGGAATACCTCAACTCAAGGCAGACTAGATACATTTTTCAAAGTTTTGCCAAATACAAATTCTCCAAAACGCAAAGCAAGTATAATTAATGATACTTATTTTTATTTAAATTACACATTTTACTTATCGTTTAAATTTTTGTGTGCATTGTGTTTTAAAATAGATGGAAGAAACAAAGGGTGTAGGAAAGAAGGCTAAAAAAGGCGCGACTGGAAAACCACGTGGAAGGCCAAAATAAATATTTATATAATAATTACTTTAGCATTAATCAAATTTCGTAATGTCTCGAACTTATGAATTTCTAATTATTTGTGCTTTCCAGTGCATAAAATATTATAAAAAATGTAAACTTTTCAACATATAAAAGTACTGTAAGTAACTGCGATTGTATTTGTATATTTTCGTATTTATTTGATAAAATAGATTATACACGTTTTAATAACATCTTTTATTTTATATGTGTATACATAAAAGATCTAGTATTTTCCTGTTCACTTGAGTAACTAATATTTTTTAAATATACATTTGATTTTATTTGAATATATAAGCTGATAATTTGAAATGATAGAAACTGTGCATTCATGTTTCTATTAGAATAGATTGTTCAGTCTTGATTTTAGCACCCACATATATCAACTATATTTCTGTAATATGTGTAGAATTTATTTTTATATTGAATAGTATCTGGCAGTGCTTTGAAGCTACTGACAGTATTTACAATATGTTTTGACAAGACATTATCATGTATATAATGTATTGGTATATACAAACTTTTGTGTACTAAAAGTATGTTATTGTCACTGAAATGTTATTATAGTACTACCAATAGCGTTAGGATCTAATACATGATTTAATGCTTGTTCAATATTATGAGGTCCATATACCCTGTCGACAACCAATTGCAACTGATTAGCGTCTACTAAATCAGACAATGCTTGTAAATATGTTGAATTTATCTTTGAACCATCTTTCCATTGGTATATATTCGATCCAAATATATACTGCAACATAATGAAATAATACAAAATCATATTCAAGTTCCAAATAAAAATTTTTTTATACCTGTATTAGTAACTTTATTCGTACACATCCAGCAAATATGCTTCCAAATATAAAGCCTAGTGAATCAGAAGTCAATTGTTCAGGGAGTGTAGATACATAGGAACCATAAGGCACTAATCGTTGTTTTAATAGACGTTCATCGATTGGTTCAACACCAGTATGGAAAATAGCATCATATCTAAGATAAAATAGTATTTTTGTATTAAAAATGTAGTTAGGTTTGATATAAATATCCTTTCTTTCACAGGACTATCTTAGAGCCACACATACTTGTCATACAATTGCAATTCTTTTTCAAGATTTGACCCATTTAATTCTATAATATCATCTGCTCCTAAAGCTTTTGAGACAGGAATAGCATTCGATCTACACATAATGCATACATATCCTCCCCATAGTTTAACTAGTTGTGTTAAAATACAACCGACTGGAGTATTTCCGCCATGTATAAGTACTCTGTGTAACAGTAGTTTAAGTTCGATATTTTCATATGAAAAATAAGCCATATATAACTAAACTCATGCATACCGTTTCCCTTTTGCATTGCCTTCTGGAATCGTAGATCTATTAACCAAGGCATCCCATGCCAAGCATCCGCTGTATGGAAGACTGGCAGATGCTTCGAAAGTAAAAAATTTTGGTCGCTTAACTACCTGACTTTCTGGGACAACTATGTATTCTGCCATTGTACCAGGAGCCCATGAGGGAATAGCTAAGAATATTTCATCTCCAATATCAAAATTAATAACGCTTTGTCCAATACCTACCACTATTCCTGTACAATCTCTTCCTAATGTTACTGGCAGTTCTTTGTGTCTCTGAGAATAAACACGTTGATATATTTTTAATGTATTATCAATGAAAAAATATTAATACACTCTAATGATATAGATGTTAAAGTAATCAAAATATCATACCCCAGAATTAAGTAGTCTCCGATACATTTTAGAATATCCATAACAAATTTTTGTGTCAACAATGTTAATAGAAGTTGCTTTAACTTGTATCAATAATTCATTAGGTTGTTGAATCATAGGCATTTCTACATCATCTATCATAGACACACCCTATGGAACAAATATCAACTATTAAGATATAAATAATTTAAAGATAAGGCAAGTAATTAGTTCGATATAAGCATATTTTTAAATGATGTGATCCCACAGAATACCTCAATACCAATGTAGTGGTGACAAATCACTGCTTTTATGTGATGCATGTGATGTGTAATATGTCCCCAATTAATTCCAACATAATAACCAATTAAAATACCCGTAATTAAACCTGCTAGACAAAATGCTAGCTCTCTTTTTGACACTGAAGAAAATAAATTAGGGTTTATTACTGTCAATTAATAGGGTTGTAGCTTTGAAAATATTATTGTAAGTTTTTTAATTGCTATTGTACCTTCATTGTTACATAAATTTCTATACAATGATTTCATATTAAAGTGTGTGTTATAATACTGAAACTGTAGTTGTTCCCATGCTTTCTCAAACCAACTAAGTATAGATTGTATCATGTCCTTTACATTTTGTACATTATGATCATTGCTTAATTCATAAAAAAATTCACGTGCTTGTATTAACCAATTTGTGATCCATTGTTGTCCTTGCTGTATAACTACGTGCGTTTGAATCTTCCACAAAAAATACGACATAATGTTAAGAATAATGAAAGGAAACAAAATTTGTATACAAAGTAAATTCAAATATTTGATGTATATCCACTTTAGTATGGAACTAGTAATGATTTTCAACACTATATGTATTCCTTTAGCCACTTTTGAAGTAATAAAAAAAAATATTACAAAAAAATGAAGTTACTTGAACATGCTATCAAATAAATTATTAATTCTTACATCATAAAATAGAATATGTCAATTATTTTCTCGCATTGATAGAATATTAAGATTATTAAATTATATGAGAACTGTCAATTACATAAATAATAATATATGTAAAAATGACTTTTCAAAATGTACAATTACCTGAAGTGTCTCGAATTGATTTGTTAAATGGAACCAGATCTCGTCCATCTTTTATAAACAGCGTTTTCATTGATCATTAGAATTTAATGTAACATTTTAAATTCCTGTACTTCCAACAATGTAAGTGTTATGCATAGTGGCCGGTCAGCTGGAAATGTAGCACAGTAGTGATATAAATAAACGATTAACACATTGCATATGACTCGAAATAGATATCAAGAGTCTGTTTTTAAGTATGACAACTTTGGTAACAATTGAAAATCGCTATTGGAAATTTGTCACGTTATCTAGTGCATCTATAATCATTGTCCCCTCGTGACCATTAGATATTCTACGAGGTTCCTAATACTTAACATTGTTTCACGACGATTGAAACAGGTTAGTTCGCACCGTGTATTTGGCGCAATTTATTTGAGCGTTTCACATGATGTAACGACGGTTGTGCAATTATCGTCACGTGGTCTAGAAATGGTAACAATTCATAGATTCAGTACCAGAGGGCTTGGTGTATGCGTCACCACAAACAACTTGTTACAGTATAGATCGGATATCTTATGACACTTCAGGCTGTTGGCAATCTGTAGCATCGACACAGCTAAAGGTTGTGACGAAATAAAATTCTTTTAGTTACAATCCTCCTGCTGCCTGAAATTTAACAATGAAAACTTAGTGTCCAATGTAATTATAAACAACAAAATTATGTTTACTTTAAACTACATAATACGATGCAATTGTGCGAAAGATTTTCTTCAACCAATTAACAAAGGAATTTTTAGTAATCCTTTCTTGTAAGTACATTTTTTTAGATAAAGAACTGTTTGTCTTTGAAGCAGTTTAATATTGTTGAAGTACTACTAGTAAAAAATCTATCACTGATATAAGACTAAATGTAATATAGGTATCCAGTGTGAGTAGCACTTCTGTTGTAATTTGTTTCAATACTCATTGCCAACAACAGAATGATTACTTAACATACACTGTACCAAAGGAGCAAATGTACACGAAATATACTGTTCATAAAAAACAGCACATACATACTAACCTCTTGTCTCATGATTTCTGCAACTCAGAAAAGGGTAAACAACATTTAGATCCGCCGAATTCACTTTAAAATGTTCATCATGAGACTGAATCGATATCATTATTCCTGTTCTACAATGATCGAAAAGGTAACAGCTTGGAACTTCAGTTTAAGAAAACAATCAATTTACTACTACAAATTAAATAATAATTACGTTCTATATAACTGGAACGATAAAAGAGTCTCCGTGACCGAGAGTACACATACGATCCCAAAAGATTAACAGATACCAGGAAAACGGCTGCAACGTTTGAATTTGCGCGCCACTGGCCGGCGCCGTACGCGCGCATCGACTTAGGCCAACTTCGCCGTACGAAGTAAAGATCAATTATTCGCGGCGAGAGGCCCGCACTCCGCAGAGTCGTGCGTTGGGTTCGGTGCGCGTCAACATCAGCTGTTGTTTCGCTCTCGCGTGAAATGACAGTTTCGTGGAGGTTCACGATGTGGAAATCGTTTTCGTGAGGGTGTTCCGTGTACCGTGCAGGCGAGCCGGGTTCGATCCACTCTCGGAAAAGATGAACGGGAGCCTGGGAATAATGCGCGGACCTGAGCAACATCCACAGAGGTTCGCGGATTATTTTGTCATATGCGGGCTGGACAAAGATTCGGGCCTGGAGCCAGACAAATATTTCGGTGAGTCCTCATCTATCTTCTCCCGCGTATATACCAGGGACGAATTTTCTCTGGCGAAAGGAGAGCCAGGGCCGTGGAGGTTCACCCTTCCAAGTTCAATCTATGTCACGAGCGTTGTACAATTCTCTCTTTTTTTTTACTAGCTGACAAAGAGTCAGCGCTGCTACTGGGTGTTTCGGGATACACCTAGCTGACAAATAGCGAATAATAAAAATATAATAAATTGTCCCATGTGACGTTTAACGCGATTGGTGTTTATATTGGGCACCATGAGTTTGAAGTCATTTAGGCGGACGAGGGGGATGATTTTTTAAAGGCTCGTTCTATCGTCAGCGTTACGCTGAGAATTCTCCTGTATTGTCGAATTTCCATTTCGTTTCATTTGCACGTGATGAACACGTGAATTTGTCAATCGATGCCAGTGCTGCTCGCAAAGAAAATCCACTTTCGTTGACGGGACTGGCTGACAGTTTCATCTGCGCGCGTTATCGTTAGCTTCTTCCCGATACGCGGGATAATAATATTGAATATCGGACATCTGCGCGTCCACGTTCATAAAATAGCAGGCTCCTTACGTCGATGCGTCCGCGGCTGGAAATTCGATTCCCGAGACGTTTTCAGACGTGAATTACTGATAATGCGACCGCATGTTTTCATTGTGCATCCGGGAAAATTCAGCTGAGAACTGAAAGCTCTGATTATCTGGTGGACGTTTTGCGTATTTTTAATTGTATGTTTTTATTTTTTTTAATTTTTTTAATGTCAGGTAAATCGATATTTTCATTCGCTTATTTTTAATCCCCTTGCACCAAGTACCATCGTCGCAGTGTTCACAACAAAACGCATATTGAATAAGCGCGTAGGTACCGTTGAATGTAATATGTATCATTGTGATTCATTCGTCAAATTATTTTACATACTCATTGTGTATTAATATTTGAGTTCGTTTTATTTATAAATTATCAAAGACGTGGAGTCAGTTAATGTTTACTGTAGCGTTATTGAACGTAATATGTATGATTCATTCACCAAATTATTTTACGTACTCACTGTGCGTTAATATTTGAGTTGATTTTATTTATAAATTATCAAAGACATTGAATCAGTTAATGTTTACCGTAGCGTTGTTTCGCGGATGTAGTAACAGTAGGAATTTTCCTTGTCACACAATTTTTTATCTTATCTGGCACGATACGTAACGTATTATTGAACAGAAAAATATTTCAAAAATTTATAAAGTAATTTATTGTTCGTAACGAATAAAGACGCGCAGAGTCATTTGAGTTGTCCTTTGAACAATAATGTGAGAAGACGCGAGAAAGTGTTGCGTGACCTTGGGACGAATTGTTCGTTGGAAAAAAATTGATTTATTCGGAATTGTCGCGGAATCGTTTCCGGTGAAGCTACATTGTTCGCAGCATTGTTCTTAGTATTTACTTTTTCGTGTTTTTATTCGGGCGATGGCGTTATTTTCTGTCGTGTGTACAAACACAGTGGACACAACAGTTATTGAGATCTGGCAACGATAAACTTGCAGGCAGCGTTTCTTTCCGCGATTATAACTTTCGGTTTCTGTTCACGTAACAATCCTGCGAATATTATATATGTATATTCATAAAGTGAAAATTGGGAATTTGTAACAGTGCTTGGTACCATATATTTTTCAATCTGTGGCATACATTCAATTCTTTAATGGTTGATAACTCTGATGCAAATTACAAATTTTTTGCGAACGTTTTTATTAGGTTATATAAACAATCTGATACAGCCGACGAAGCAGTTACTCATTTGAATACATTTTTTGCATTATCGTAATTAGAAACATTTTTATACAATTTTATAAAGGTTCTATTAACAAATTGACTGACTAATAATAAAATAATAAATAAATAAATAATAAAATAATGATAACTTATAAGATAACTGCTTTAAAATAAATATATTCAGTAGCGGGAATAACTAGATAATAGCGAAACGTAAGAATTGATACCAAATAATTAACCCTTTGCACTCGAGAGGTGACTCCCAGTCACCATTTGATTTGACTCAGTAGAATTAGAAAATTTGATATTTAATGTTGAATCATGTATAATACATTGGCGCGTGAAATATTTGGATAAAAAGGCTTTGTTTCTCAATTTACTTGTAATTTCTTTTTGAATTCATTTAAAAAACAACCATCCTCTTTGTCTAGTTAGAGAATGTTATTTCTAACAAAATACTTCCGAGTGCAAAGGGTTAATAATTCTTCCTTTTTATTTTCCATAGGAAAAGAATAAGTGATACATAAAACGCTCTTGTTTTTGCTGGCAGTCAACGTGTTGATTTTTTACAGATACCATAACTTTCAATATACATAGTGAAACGGGAGAACAAGTGCTTATATAGTAAACATTTGAAGTGATGTTCTTATACTGATGATCATTGCTATGGAATCTACATACTAGGTTTTGATTCAGAGGTGCAATTTTTCTCTGAACAACACTGAACTAGAGTTTATTGAAAACGTGATTCCTGTTTGCAAATGGGGACATTATTGCATTAAGATACCTGCATTAGTATTTTTATGAATATTTGATTCTGTGGTGGGCGATGGTTGGCGATGCTTCTCCTAGTGAACCTACCGAAGAAGACTGGAACAACGAGGGCACAGGATGTATACTACTTACCGCATCTTCCCGAGAAGCCTGCTCTTCTCCGGTACGGTCCATTTTTCCTAGAACGCCACGGAAGGATCGGTTTACAGACCGTTGCTGCTGCGCTTATTCCTGGGAAAATTCCGCGGAGCAGAAAGATGCACGTGCCCGCTGACGGTTACTTCTTTCATTAGGCGGCCGTTCACAACTCCTACCGTTTGTTTATGTAACGTCCGCGGGCTTCGCGACACTTGTTTTGAATTAACGTTTTACGGCCACGTTAGGTTTCGGTTATGTGCCATTTACATTTTGTCAAATCTCTTTCCGTCGAAAATTCTTTTTTTCTTCACAAATACTTTGATCTTCAGCATTTACTTGTTTACATTTATGCTTAATAATTAAACTTACGGTGAAGTTGTCGATGTACTTAGCCCGCTCTTGTTGATGTTTAAATATGTTGTTGAGGCCATGATTTAGTTCTCGAGATAGTCGCGAGAAAATTTTGCTACTACTAAATTGAATTCTGCATATGTGAGTCTCTGCGGGAGCCAACCATAACTGTAATATTCGCCTGTCACGTTAGTGTCGTTGGCCAGAGGCTTAAAAGTGCAATACTCAGTTGGCCCCGCCCTTGAGCAGTTATTCCTGCCCTCTGGCCCATTCCTCGCTTGGCTAGCTTTGCCCTTGAGACGTTAGCACCGCCCCCTGGTCGGTTAGCCTATTCGTCACTCGGCTGGTCCCGCCGCTGGGCACTTGGCCCTATCCCCGCTCGGTAAGCCCCTCTCTCTGGACGGTTAACTCCGCCCCTGAGCATATAACCCCGCCTTCTGGGCGGTTAACTCCACATCTAAACAGATAACTCCGCCCTTTGTACAGTTAACTCCTCCGTACGACGGTTAGCCCCGCCCAAATATACCTCATCAATAATACCTAATTCTTATATTTAATAATTATATGTTCCATTTTGTTATCTCTTCTTGTCAGAGACAACAAGTTAAAGCTATTCGAGTCAAATATTCACAAAAAAAATTTGTTTATAGTCCTAAGGGAAGAGTTCCCGTGATTTGACTTTTGAGATTCTGGAAGCACAAGAATGTACAGCTGGGAAATGACTAGATTTGGCAAAAGGTGTTTTTCTAGTTGACAGTTTTATAGTTTACATTTAACCCTTTAACGAATACGCAGAACTTCGATTGAATGTGCAGTATATACCACGTACCGATGAATACTAAATTAGGAAGTAGGAAATACAGCCAGCAGATAATTGGGACAGAAAAAATGAGAACTGATCGATCAGCCGAATTCCTCAGCCTACCTATCAACTGACCTAGCAGTAATTAGGAGTACGTACTCTACAGAATAGAAGGGGAGCAAGGAATTTGAAATAAAGTTACGAAATATCGATTGGATCCTAGGATCTTGAGTACATAGTTTCTTGCTCGTGGCGGTTGACGCAGTTGCCCGAGCACGTGTGTTGCGCTCAACAACCGTAGAATCCGTAGCGAAACAAGTGTGTCGTAACTCAATACCAGTATACTTTCATCGGCCGCGATCGCCAGTTTTCAGGATTGAGTTACTACGGGCACATCCTAGAGTGAGGACGCTTACCCGCTGCAAACGATACACAGAGGCGTGCCCAAGCGGCTGCGACATACGATGCACCGCTTCCTTCTCGAAAACGCGACAGTTAACGTTGTAGTGCCTCCATTATCGGAACGTCGGGAGAAAACCGACACGAGGGTCAACGAGAAAGACCACTGGAAGTAGTACTGACACCGTTGACACCTAGATCTGCGATTGCAATGCGATCCACTGCTGGTTTGGCGCGTTTATAGCATTCAAAAGTATATGAAACGCAATATAAAATAAATATGATAAAATATAACACAATCAAAGATTCCAGTAATATCTAAAGATATTTGATTAAAAATAATTTGTGTTAATTATGGTATTATTGAATAAAATCGGAGATAATGAAACATGTAGTCATTAGAAATGGACGTATAGTTGATGGTTTTATAAAATAATTTTCTGAATTTTCTACTTTTTTATTCTAAAAAATGTTTATTTGGATTACTAATAATAATATTAATTTATAATTATATTTAGTTTAAATTAAAGATATAGTCGAATATATCTATATGCTTATTCAACTCTGACTTTAAATTAGGATTTTAATCAAATAAGTTTTGCTTTGACCAGTCGCGACGCGAACTATTCGAGAGTCGTAGATTGATCGTATCAATCCTCACAGGGCACCCGGTACATTCTGCGCAGCGAACAAAGACTAATTGTGAACAATGGCAACAAGAAGGAGATAATTCCCGCTTTCGTTGAATCGTGACCTTCGACCTCGTTTGTTCG